AAGTAGCCTTAAATTTTAAATTCCATACATTAGTAATACTGAAAAAAAAAATCATTTGCTTTTGTCTTTTTAAAAGGTTATTTATAGGCTGCCTAGAATGTCAGAGAAAAGTAGATAGATCATGTGGTCAAAAAGCATCCTTATAATAAAAGAAAGCTTTTAATGGATGATGGCTACTGGGATAACATTAATCCAGTATTAAGACTTTTACGGGAAAAAATACAAATGCAATTTGTCTTTTTAACTGTCAGCTGCATTTTTGAAGCTTTAAAATCTGCAGCTTCCAGTGGCCTTTTGTCTTTCTGCCATGGCAGAAAATCTTGGACAGCTGAAAGAGCTTTGTAAGTTATCTTTCTCAAAATCCATCAGCTAATTCAAGGAACCTAATTAGAACTGCCATTTTGATGAAATGCACTAAGCCTCAATACAAACTAGTAACACCATCAGTGTTGATCACAAGACCACACAAAACAGGACTCTGTTGAATACAATATATACAAAAATTATAGATGGGTACAATTTCTGAAAACATGCATATTAACATAGGCAAAAATGAATATAAAGAAAATGAATGTATATCGCTTTGTGAAATATAGTTAAAGAGGAATTGTATCGTTTTACATACACTAGTGAAAAATTAGTCATTCAGAAGGAATATTTCACAAGGACTACAATTTCCATTGTTAAGTTATGATCATTGTAAATCAAGGCTGCCATGCGACAGGACCTGATTTTACAACTATATTGCAGCAGTCATTAAGTGAATCAGTGTATTCCTATGAGCATGTTTTGCTGGAAACTTGACAAAAAGGCCAAAAACTGGCAAAAACTGTAAATTGGAGCCACGTCATAGCATAATATCTTAACTGACTATTTAATATGACCCAGTTACCAAATGCCCAAAATGTGGCTCTATGTGTGTGTGAGGGGGGAGGGAGGAAGAGGGAGAGGAAGAAGGAGGGAGGGATGGAGGGGGAGAGAGAGAGCGAGCACTATTGGAACTCCTGAAGCAGATCATAAGTAGCTTTTGTGAATTCCATCATAACTTCAAACAGATGCTGAGACTGGTAAATTAAGGACTACCTGTAGATTAGAGGCTGGTGCAGGGTGAGCGAGAGTTTCACAAAGTTCTCTTCTCCAAGTGGCTCCTTGCCACAAATGTACAAAGGGCAGATTCCCTTGCTGTAGTGATAATCTTCCCTCCCTTTCCATTAGTAAATGTGTATGTGCCTGATTGTGCATTTTCAGGCAACTTCCATCAGTCCAAATGCTTTCCTCCAGTGGATCTGTCCCTCCATCTCAAGATGCCATATGGAATTTGGCATTTTGTCAATATTACTCTTTTAGTAATTTGCATGAAAAGTATCACTCAACAGTGTTCTTTAGGTACAATAGTTTCTTCTTCGTGCTTTGTAAATTCCGCCCTTAATGCTGCAAACAATAGAAATCCTGGCACACCATTTCAAAGTACATGTTTTGAAATGCATTTTCCCATATATCTAATTATATTTCAGTTCTACTTATATGTTCAGCCAAACAGATGTAAAAAACAAAACCAGCCTCTTTTCTACAGCAGATGTTCTAGTTAAGACACCAGCACGCCAGGGGTGAAAGGTGCAAACTTACTAGGAAAGAATAAAGCATTCTAGCAGCAATTTAACAAGGAATAGCATAAATAGCAAGTTAAATAATTTGTAAAGAATTTCATTAGCTGCCAGTGCAAGATGTGAGGGAAGATGAAAATGTGCCTAGTAACTATGCACGACAGAACCGCTATTACAGAACCCACAACTCCTCCGAGATGTGCACATTTAATCAGTATTATAATCACTCTGTTACTCCCTCAGAGGTCTCAACCACAGGAAGCATTGGTTTAGGCATTACTGGACACAGATCTATCACCCGTGTGGGTTCAAGTAGGTGGCACATCATTCTCAAGGAGGCTTTGGAATTTCAGAATCTCCACATAATAGGAGATGAGTGAGTTTTGAATCATTAAGGAAATTATGCAAATGGGGTTTTGACATTCATGCACCATGTCTAATGATGTGCTTAACATTTAGACCAGGCCTGCAAAACCTATGACTCATCAAGCTGAAAGCCTTCACATTGGGCGGCTCACAAGAACTTCATAATCATATTTTTTTGACCATCTGCCTCAGCTCTCAGACAACCCACAGGCCTCTGTATTCTAGAATTAGAAGCCTAACAGAGACCATTCAGAGGCCTTCCTTGATAAAGATGAGGGTTTATACATTGTTCCAAGTTTTAACCATGTACTTAACCAAGATTTGTTTAATAAACCACAATAAGACAGGTTCACAGACCACATGAGGCCACAGTAAACCATGTGATGTGTGAACTAAGGCATATTTTCTTAAATAGGAACCAAAGCATTCCAGTTCATTCTACTCTGATTATATCTGCTCGGGATTAGGCTTTTATAGCAATTTTGCACTTTTCAAAAGGATCACAGTTGAAATAATAGGAAAAATAAATCAAGAAAAGTCATCTAACCTTTTATATGATTACTGATTTCTTCCCCCATTTCCACCAATGATAGAAGGCTTGTAGGCTAGAGCTAAATGCTCATTGGTCAGTCTGGTTTTTTGGATCCTTGCAGACCAAAGCTGGGCTCAAGCAACCAAGCACCTACTACACACCTGCTTGTACCTACTGTTTTTCTTGTCTTTTTGCTTGAGAAATGGGGTCTGAAGTGGTTCGGGAATAACGAGAGGCACAACCAAGCAAGTGACAACAGCTCTTTAATTTACAGTGAGACTTCAGCAAAAGCTCAGAGGCTGCAGCCCTCCTTATATACAATCCTGGAGGGACTGTCAGCCAATCAGAAACGTAGGCAGGTTTGAAACTCCCGCTCAAAAGTATCAATACATAACACCCCTCCCTTCCCAGAAGGCACTAACATTCAAAAATTTACATAAGTACACACAAAATCTCGCAGGTGCCCCGACCGAGTTCTCGTCCTAGTTGACCTGCGCAGTTCAGTGTTTGGTGGGGCGTCGAGCTGGTCGGAGGGACCTTCTGTCTCTCCCGGCTCCGCCAATGGAACCTCCTGGATTTTGTCCGGGGCGTGGTTATCCCCAGTTGGGAGTGGCGACTCGCTGGGGCAGCGCTGGAACCAGGGCTTGTCAGCTAAGTATTCTCGCGAACCCGGGCTTGAGTTAGCTGTTTTGGAAAAGTTGTTATAGTTAGGCTCGGAGATGTCTAAATTGATGTTTGCTTCGCCGACTACCCTTTTTCTCAGTTGGTCTATGTGGCGCTTCCAGAGTCTGTCTACCCCTACGTCTACCGTATAAGATTTCGGGCCTGTTATGCCCACTATGGTTCCTGCAACCCATAAAGGTCCGCTGGCATAGTTGCGAGCGAACACCGGGGACCCAACCTGAAACTGTCTCAGTCCAGAGGTCTCTCCCTTGAAATTTTCGTGCGAGTAGTTGGGGTGAAGCCTATCTAACACGCACCGAAGCTTCCTGCCCATGAGGAGCTCTGCTGGGCTTCTCCCTGTGGCTGTGCATGGTGTGGCATGCTGGACAGCTAGGAATTGATCTATCCTGGCCTGCCAGTCCCCGTTATCTAGTCTGGATAGGGCCTCTTTGGCCGTTCTTACAAAACGTTCGGCCAATCCATTAGAAGCCGGGTGGAACGGGGCCGATAGGGCATGGCGGATGCCCAGTCCGGCCAAGTAACCCTCGAACAGGGTTGCTGTGAATTGAGGGCCGTTGTCAGATACTAGAGTATCCGGTAGGCCATGTGTGGCAAATAGCTTGCGAAGGGCTTTAATAACTGCCTCGGCTGTGGTAGAGGGCATTAGAATGATTTCAAGCCATTTCGAAAAGGCATCTACTACAATTAAAAACGTTTGCCCATGGAAGGGGCCAGCAAAATCAATATGGATCCTCCCCCATGGCCCTTTTGGTTTCTCCCACTCTCAGATGGGCACTACCGGGGGATCAGGGCGAGACTCCTGGCAGGGTCTGCACTTTCCCACCCACTCGGAGATAACTTAGTCCATGTTGGGCCACCATACATAACTGCGGGCTAAACTTTTCATTCTGACAATGCCCGGATGCCCTTCGTGCAGCAATTCTAAGACCCTTGTTCGTAGTTTTGTTGGCACTACCACCCTGTCACCCCACAACAAACAACCACCTTGCGTAAACAGTTCATTTCGTTTGTTTACAAAACCTTGGTAGTCCCCCCCGTCCACCTTGACCGGCCACCCTTTCAGCACCCACCCCATCACAGTACGAATGATCGGGTCCCTGGCTGAGGCTTTTGCCACTTCGGCAGAGGAAATAGGTCCCAAAGTTAATGTGTCCAGTAGAAGGACGGAGGCCTCTGGTGTTGGATTGGTCAGTAAGTCAGGTAGGGGACAGCGGCTGAGGGCATCCGTGTGACCCAGGGTCCGTCCGGGTCGATGTACAAGCTGATATGAATAGGCCGAAAGAAAAATAGCCCATCTAGTCAAACGTGGGGAAAGAGCAGCGGGGGTGGGCCTGTCGCCTGCCAAAAGTCCTAGCAAGGGCCGGTGATCAGTCACAAGTTCGAATTGCCGGCCAAAGAGGTATTCGTGGAACTTTTTAACCCCCACAATTGCAGCCAGAGCCTCTCTGTCCAATTGGCTATAGTTTTGCTCTGCGCTTGACAGAGTGCGAGAGTAAAACGCAATGGGCGCCTCTAGGCCGTTCGGCAGTCTATGGCCTAGGACGGCACCAACTCCTACGGGGGAGGCGTCACAAACCAATACAAGCGGTAGCGCTGCGTTGTATTGGATTAGGAAACTGTCTTCCGATAGAAGTCTCTTTACTGCCTCAAAAGCGGCTGCTTGTGGTTTCCCCCAGACCCATGGTACATTCTTCCCCAATAGTTTGTGTAGGGGATCTGCGACAGTAGCTTTGTCTTTCAGGAACATTGAGTAAAAATTGAGCAGTCCAAGGAAGGCTTGGAGCTCTGCTTTGGTCTTGGGGGCAGGTGCGTTCTTAATCGCTCTCACCTTGCTTTCGGTAGGGTGGATGCCTGTGCCGTCCACCCTGTACCCCAAAAATTCAACGGAGGGGACAGCGATCATACATTTATTTTTCTTTAACTTTAGTCCTGCTTCCCTAAATCTAGAAAGGACGTTCCTTACTCTGTCCCCTAACTGACGTTCGTCCTGAGCGCTGACTAGAACGTCATCAAAATAGGGCACCACTCCGGGAAGCCCTTGCAGAAGGCGCTCCATGATGCTTTGAAACAGGCCGGGTGCGACGCTCACCCCAAACTGGAGCCTGGTGCATTTGAATGCACCCCTATGAGTAACAATCGTTTGCACCTCTGCCGTGGCATCATCAACTGGTAATTGTTGATAGGCCTGAGCCAGGTCTAATTTGGCAAAAAAATTTCCGGGCCCCAGGGAGTGTAGTAGATGATGCATGATCGGCACCGGATAGGCGCTCGGCTGCAAAGCCTTGTTGATCGTGCACTTGTAGTCGGCGCAGATCCTAATTGAGCCGTCAGACTTTACTGGGGTTACTATAGGGGTTTCCCACTTTGCATGGTCAACGGGAACCAACACCCCTTGTTTAAGCAGTTTGTCCAGTTCCGCATCGATCTTTGGTTTCAATGCGAAAGGCACCCGTCTGGCCTTGAGTCTTATTTGGGCTACGTTGGGGTCTAAATTAAGGGAGATAGGGGTCCCCACATACTTGCCCAACGTGTCCCCGAAAACGTCCTGGAACTCGGTCAGGAGACTGTCTTTTAACGATGACTTGAGCATCTGGTGGACGCCGGTGGAGCTCATGCCGAGGGCTCGGAACCACCTCATGCCGAGAAGGCTGGGAAGCTGCTTCGTGACAATGGTCAGTTGCAGGTCTCTTTCGTAGTCTCCGTAGGTGACTCGGAACGTGCCCATGCCTTCGAGGGGGACTCGGTTCCCTTGGTAGTCTAGGATGCGCAGTCTCTGTTTGGAGAGCTGGTCCTTCCGGAACGACGGCAGGAGGGTCTTTAGGGTCGCCCATGACATTATGGAGAGAGCTGATCCGGTGTCGATCTCCATTGAGCATGGCTTGCCGTTGATTTCGACCACCATGCTGACTTTGTCCTCGATTTCCGCGCTGGCCTGGTCTATGTGAATGCTGCGGCCATCTTGAGGTTCAAATTCGCGCCGTTTTTTCGCGCCGCCTTCTCTCGTTGGTTGTTTCTGGCGCGTTGATTCTGGTTGGCTGCGGCGCTCATGTGGTTGGTGTTTTCTGGGCAGAATGGCTCTACAGACTCGCGCCAAGTGCCCTTTTTTCTCGCAACGCCTGCAGATAGCCTCCCTGTATTTGCAGGACAGTCTATCATGGTGCCCTCCACAGCTGGGACAGCTTCGCCGTGGGCTGCCTGTGTCCTTTCTCTGGTGCTCCGTTCGGAAAACGTCTTCATCCGACTCGGACTCCGAGCTGGATCCGGCGTCTTCTCTGTGCACCGGGGCAGACTTGGGGTTGTCTTTGCTGGTCAGTGGACGCTGCAGCGTTTCTGCGGCTTTTGTGGAGGCTTCATGAGCCCTAGCCTCGTCTAGGGCTCCAGCAAGCGTCAAATCAGGCTTGGCGAGCAGGCGCCGTTGCAGCCTAATGTCCCGGACACCACAGATGAGTTGCTCAAGCAACGCATCGTCCAAGTCTCTATAGTCGCAATGGGTTGCGGCTTTTCTCAGGCTGGCCATGTATGCGCTGACCGGTTCTCCCTCTCGCTGAACGCGCTGTCTAAGTTGGTATCGTTGCATGAACTTGGAGGGCACGGGAGCATAGTGAGCCCGGAGCGTGGCCATCAGGGTGTCCCAGGAAACGGTCTGGACCGGCGTTGGCTCGCACAGTGACTCTGCCATTTCGAACACGTCCGGTCCACAGTGGCTTAGGAAGAGGGCCCTCTTCCAATTAGCGGAGAGCCCTTGCATGTCGCTGGCTTCGAGCGAGCATTCGAACCTCGTCAGGTACGAGACCCATTTTTCGCGGGTCGGATCAAAAGGCTTGGGCGGAACGTAGGCAGACATGTTCGGTATGCCTCCAGTAGTTCGCCTCGTCGCCTAGCTGAAGCTCGTGGTCTCACTGGTTCGCTTCTTGTGACCTCAATCCCACCTTCGTCGCCAATGAAGTGGTTCGGGAATAACGAGAGGCACAACCAAGCAAGTGACAACAGCTCTTTAATTTACAGTGAGACTTCAGCAAAAGCTCAGAGGCTGCAGCCCTCCTTATATACAATCCTGGAGGGACTGTCAGCCAATCAGAAACATAGGCAGGTTTGAAACTCCCGCTCAAAAGTATCAATACATAACAGGGTCTTAGAGGGTTAGAGAAGCCTTTAAAAAGAATCCTGTGTAGGGCTTCTACTTCCAAGCTTCTTCACCCTCGCAAGGAAACCCACCTCTCATTTTAGCTCTGCAAATTGGAGGTATATTGACAATTCCGCCTGAGCTGTTTTGCCCTGAAATCCAGCTTGAAGGAATAAGTATAATAAAATTATGGTTTGCTGCGGTTTAACGATAGGTTTATAATCTATGAACTGTTTTGTTTTTATGGCCACTGTTTTATGATAATTTAGTATTTATTCTGAAAACTGCTCTAAAAGCTTCTGAGTAAAATGAAAGAGGTATAAATTTTAAAAATAAATAATGCAAACATGCACATTGAAATCTTTATTTTCTTTTACTGGCTATGTTAATTCTTTTTCACGGTTTATAGGCACAAACATAATTTATATTTGTTATCAAGGAAGTTGTAAATATTGTTTGTACAAAACATCATGGAGGTATAATAACAACAGTACAATTTCTGCTTCCTTGCTTCTTTGAAATGGAGTTAAACTATATCCTGGAAAATAGCCATGTTTGAAATCCTGGTCGAACAAGGGCTTATCAAAATGCATCTGCCATTATCTTTTCTCAGAGGTACCTAAGGATCTTTAAACTGGTCGTTAAAATATATTACAGCATTACCAATTTGCCATACTCTGGGTGATCCAGAGGGCAAAATGAAATGAAAAGTTTCTGATCGATTTCAGAAACTTTTACAAAAACTAATATAATGACAAGCCCAACCTCCCATTTTGGCTTATATGCAATCACTCCCTTGCTCAGCTTGTGGCTGGGCATCCTAGAAACTCTGGTTTCAAACCTGAGCATTTGCACCTTTGCCTCCAGGGGCTTTTGAGGTGGAAGCTCAAGCAGAGGAGGGGGAAAAGACAAAGCCATTGTGAGACAAACTCTGCCTCTTTTACACCTGATGGTAACAATAGATCAGATCCTGTGGACACATCTGCTAGTAACTCCTCACCACCACCTCCCAATCCTATTTTTTCCCTATTTTTTCTCTCTCCCTGTTATTTAGACACTTAGCAATATGCTCTTGCCAATCAATCAATCAAAAGTAGTAGAGTTGGCTGACTGCAAAGATATGCTGGTACAGTTTTGGTCCTCCAATTACATAGATTTTGTATGCTGGAGCTTCTGTGCTTAACCTCCCTGAACAGATATTTCTTACACCTGCAAGGCACATTCTGTCACCCCCACCCCCGCAGGTCCTCCCTCATCATCTTACCCTATCCATATCTTCAAAACATTGCTTTTGTCTCATTTCCAGCCCATATTTGAGGAAGTTAAAGTGCTCTTAATCTTTCAGTTTTAAAGTATGTTTTCTATCTATTCTTGATGCAATTTTTACAGTGGGTATGATCTGGCCTGCTTCACAGACCATTTGGTTGGTGATATAACCATGGTTTGAGGTCTGTTCAGTTCCACTTAGACATTTTACACTTGCTATGGGATCCATTCTGGGCACTTGTTACTGTCCTCCAAAACTGGACTTTTGGCTCAGGGATGAAATCCAGCAGGTTCTGACAGGTTCTGGAGAACCAGTAGCAGAAATTTTGAGTAGTTCAGAGAACCAGCAAATACCACCTCTGGCTTGCCCCAGAGTTGGGTGGGAATGGAGTTTTTGCAGTATCCTTCCCCTCCCATGCCCACCAAGCCACACCACGCCCACCAAGCCACACCACGCCCACCAAGCCACGCCCACAGAACCGATAGTAAAAAAAATTGGATTTCACCACTGCTCTGGCTATTCCATATGAATGTCTCCATATGTTTCTACCGATCTGGTCAGGTCAGCTAGAGTTGGGTACACTCCAGGTTCCATCTATTAAGCAGTGGCATCTTACAGGACCTAGCAAGAATACTTTCTGCAATTCATTAACCTAACAACATCTGTAATTACCATTTAGGTGCATGATATGATGGGAGTAAATTATTAGCCATAGATCTTCCAAGAGTTTTGATAAAGTAGATACAGTGTAAATACCATCCATCGAATAAATAATTGGTTGGCCATTTTCAGCATATGCTTAAATTTTCAAAGAGCAGGTAGCAGTAGCAGCCAGGGGAGCCTTTGCACAGCTTCGAATTGTGCATCAATTGCAGCCTTTACTGGATCAGGAGTCCCTGCACTCAGTCATTCAGGCTCTAGTCATCGCATGATTGGACTACTGCAATGCACTCTACATGAGACTATCCTTGAAGAGCATTTGGAGGCTGCAGAGTGCAGTAGTACAGGAAATTCTTGGGGCCCCAAGAATGCCCATGTAACACTACTGCTCTGTAAGCTGAACTGGCTGCCGGTCTGCTTCTGGGTGCAATTCAAGCTGTTGGTTATCACCTTTAAAGCCCATTCTGGCATGGGTTCTGGCTACTTAAGGGACCCTCTCATCCCTCTGGAATTAGCCTGCCCCACCCATGCTGGCAGATGAGGCATGCTGTGGGCCCTGTTGGCCCGAGTATTCCATCCGGCAGGGTCCAGGAGAAGAGCGTTCTGTGCCATTGCACCTAACCTGTGGAGCACTTTGCTTCCCAGACTGAGGTTGGCCTCAACCTTCCTGACCTTCCGAAAGAGCCTAAAGATCTGGCTCTGACAGTTGGCTTGGGGCTTCAATGGGGGAGTATCCCAGTGGAGGGGGTTGATTAACAACAGATCCCACCTCTGCTCCACCCCTCCAATCCTGCTTCCACTCTCCCCATCTTTTAACTGAGCAGTGATATTTGGCTCTGTGTAGTATTTCATTTATTTTATTTTTGAACAGTTTTTATTTTTTATGATTGTAAGTTGCCCAGAGTTACCCTGAGATAAGATGGGTGGCCAATAAATTTTGTAAATATATAAATACATAAATACATACATACCATGTTTCCCCAAAAATAAGACCGTCTTATATTTTTTTGAACCCTGAAATAAGTGCTTGGCCTTATTGCCATGCGCTCAAAAGCCCGATTGGGCTTATTATTAGGGGATGTCTTATTTTGGGGGAAACAGGGTACATACATACATACATAAAATAAATGAAATGGTTGCTTTCTGAGGTTGAATATGCTGAGAGTATCTGATTCATCTAATGTCAAGGAGGTTGGGAAGAAAAATCCATATCTGCATGTAATGATATATGGGAAGTGGACTGACAAATTAAGACTTAATTCAAGAAAAGTGGTAGTGCAGACAGTACTGTCATTTATCTGGTTTCTGCAAGAAAAACAATCTTTTGAGGAAATGGTCCAATTTTGCAGTTAGACATATTTCTGAATTCTATACCTAACGTGGATATCCACCAAACTGATATGACTAGAAATGGCACTGAGACTTTCTCCCAGTGTGCCAACCACACTTTTGTTTTTTGAAAAGGCAGATTTTGCACCTGTTTCTTTTGTTTCAAACTTTACACAAAAGTATTAATAGACACAAGTTTGACATCAGAACTCAAAACAAAGACAAAATGATAGGAGAGCATTTTAACTT